CCCCAAAACCCCAAAACCCCAAAACCCCAAAACCCCAGATTGTAAAATATTAATAGAATTATGAAATAAAATTTATTATTGTCTTTTTGCCTTGACTTGTTTTATGAGAGAACTCATGAAGTCTATGTCATCATACCTGAGAGCATCAAGTCTCCAGTTTACTTTCTTCTTCTTTATCTTTTTGATACTTCATGGAGACCCTTGACTTCCTTCAGGTCGAGTAATTTTATCAGGGATTAGCTTCTTGGCTCTCTCTATGACATACCTCGATTTGAACTCAATGAAAATATCATCAAGCTCTTCTAAGTTATCTTCAAGGTTGGTGTTAGGCAGCCTTGCTATTGATCAAACGTCAGGAATGTTAGAGATTCTTAGGATTATATCCATATTTCTGTTGAAGTGATTAAGGTCTTGTTGGAAACTGATACAATTCCAATTTAGTTCACTTTCAGTTTTTGGGTTTGCTTCAGGGGATAAATACATTTTATCATTGAGATCAATTACGTGATCTCTTCTCTGGCATCCATTATTTCTTGGATCAATTATATTAGGAACTTCTGGAGTTTTAGTCCCCAGTTTGGTAATATCAGTATTGGTAACCTCATCAATAGTTATTCCAATCTCAAATTGTTTTACTTCATAATTGCAGCATTTATATACCCCTCTATTTTCTCCATACAATCATTTAAGATCTTCCAAATGAAATTTGCATGAACTTTTCATATTGATAGGCTTAAAGTGCTCATTTCAAAGGGAGCATTTAAAAATCTTGGTTCTTGCCCACATCTTCCAGTAAATTTCTTTCCACTGCATCCTGTTCTCTCTATGCTGCATAACATATTCATTAAGGTCCCATAAATGGTCAGCTACGTGGTATGATTTGAGTTCTCCTCTGTGGCCTATTAATATATTCGAATTGGAAGGACAGTTAAACACCTCTCTTTGGGTCTCAGTGTAAAGCTCATTTCATAACTTGCACTTAAACAACATGTTCTTTGAGTTTTCAAAGTATAGTTCTAGCTTCTTCTTGTACAACCTTGACAGGATTATATCTTTATCGTCGACAAGTGAGTCCAGATCTATAGAAATGAAAAAGAGCCTTACATTCATCTAGCTGTTTCTCACAGAATTTCCTTGCAATATTCTTTGCAATATGGGACTTATAGGGCGGAAGAGGCTCTTTAAGAGCTAGTAGCTTCTCAATATTGTTTACTATATACTCAAGGCACATTTCTGTAAGGTTCGGCATCTCCAAATAATCACTAGACATCAAAATCGAGTGAATATTATTTAAAAGTGAGCTTGAATGTATCTTTGGGACCGTTTAGGTAATCCATTAGCCATTTGAAGATATGGATCTGACAGTGAACGGTAATCTCTAAATCATCTATTCCTTTTATTTCAGGGTCCTTTCTATTTGCCGTACTTATCTTTCTCAAGAGACTTGATGTACTTAGTAAATCATTTCATTTCTTCTTGGAGGATAAATTTGTTACATTTGAATTCCTTCTTTACTTTTGTGACTGGATCAATCACATGAATTGTGATCAGATCTAAAAATGTTAGGTATGAACAATACCTTTTACAGAGGCTTCAGTCGAGCTAGACCTCATGTTTGTTATAGAGTTCTGAGCACTTCCTATTCTCACTAGGTTATTAGTTTCAGGACTCTTACTTAATTTTTCATCTTGAGAATGAGAATTGGTTCTCTCAACTTGAGGAGTTTTTGGATCTATCGTAGTTTTGTTTAGGAAGGAACTCTTCTCCTATAAGAATTTAATTTTAATTGTTACTTTCATTTTTGGGCCTACTGAATTCCACATTTGTTTCTTCTCAATGTAGATACGTTCACTGGTGTTTGGACTTTTCTCCTTTTGAAATTGATCCTCTCTCCTAGTTTTATCCTTATTCAAGTTTGATGTTGAAGAGGAGATTTTCTGATTCTCAAGTAGAGCATTGCTTAATAAGTTCGGACCTTTATTGTTATGATTCTTGTTAAAATCGATTCATGTCTGAGTAGTAGGTAAATTACTGCCTATTCGACTATCAATACTATGGCTTTCTCCATATTTTGCTTTTAGAACTTTAGATGTATTCTTGGTAATATTTTTGATTAATTCTTTTCCTACAACTTTCTCTTTGGAGAACCTTCTTCTTGTTATCTCATTCATGATATTTTTGGAGTTTGTTTGCCCATTCTCTGCAGATTCTCCTCTTTCTAAGTGGCTCAAAGCAATTTTTCTACTATCTGGATTATTAGTATTTATAAGTGTGTTATTAGCATTCCTTCTGAGTCCTGTAGAGGTATTCGTACGATTGCTACCAGACCCATGGGTAGTAGAAGCTCTAGAATTCCTTGCAACTATGACAGTCTCTTTCTTCTTTGATTGGTCTCTAAACCCATAACTTCTTCATTTATTTGTAGTAATTTGCTTGGAGCCAGGGTAAGTTCCTTTGATTCCCAGGTCATTATCATTGGAGTAATAGTTTGGTTTTCTGCTTCCTTTCGATGTCTCTCTTTCTACTCTCTGGTTAATCTTCATTTTTGTGAAATTTTGTTCATTGGGATGCGATCTCTTCGGATTTTTCAGTGATTCTTGTTTGTATTTGACATTTTTGGAATTCCTCTGCACAAAGAACTGGGAATTCAGTTGAGACTTGCTGGAAGAATTTGAAGTTACTTTGCTGATCTTGTTCCCCACATTATTGTAGAAACTCCCACCAGAGTGTGTCTTGTTAGCATCTATGATGTTCAGATTCTTTTGGTTTTTAGGCCCCATTTTAGAGGAGAGGATTTCATTTTCTGAGACAATGGATCCTTTACTAAAGTCATGATCACTTCCGCCCTTTCTTGTAAATGTCTGGTTAGGGGCATATGGTTTTTTACTTTGATTCATTGAGTTTCCATTAAGAATCAGATTTGAATATATATTCTTCTTTGGCTTACTTGCTGGAGTATCATAAGCTTGATCACTTCTTTGTGCTAAAGAGATAAGTATAACCTTTTGAAAAGTTTTGAAAATTTCCTTCTTACAGAAAAGAGGGAAAATGAGAGTAGTCTATTAAATGTTTCTACTAGACTTATAAAACTTTGTTTATAATTAAGAGCTATGAAGTAGAGAGTCTGAAGTTTGGAATATAACTTACCCATTAATCTCCGATTTACAGCAAATGAAGAAGTGAGACTGGAGGTGGTGTACTTAGCAGAGTGAGTCACTATCGGATTTGATCTACAAGAATAGGTTAGTCTTTAACCTCTTTGTGGATATAATCTTTGTATGGTATACAAAAATGTAGGCTTTTACTCTTGAGCTTGCATTAGATAAATAAAAATTAAGAGAGTAATATGGTATTAGTTTTATATTAATTTTATTAGAGAATGATGTATACCTTTCTTTACCATTTCCTCTCGATCTGTCGTTATTAGGGGATGAAAATTTATTAGCTTGTAAGCCAATCTTCTGCTGATTCATCCTTTTGTATAAGTCGGACATTATTCTTAATGTATTATACTTTATCAATATTATTTATTTTCAAAGGGGTTTTGGGGTTTTGGGGTTTTGGGGTTTTGGGG